GTAACAGTGGAACATGTCTGGACACAAAGCTCTGATGAGAAGTTTAGAATCGTACTGTGAGAACATCTAAGCCTCTCGGATAAAAGAACCAGTCAGAAATACACCTTCAGTATTTATCTGTGACAACTTTGGTGGGCAACAAGTTCTGACAGTTTACACAACTGCACCCTACAGGATGCAATACATTACATGGCTCAGAATGTTTTTTGCAATGCATAATTAGAATACTTTTCACTATTTACCTCTCCTTTCTACAAACGGTGGCTACTCACATTGTTCCACTTCAAGCATAGAACCTAAATGTAAACCTCAAACCACATATACCAAACTCAACCTCACATTTGTTTTCCATTGTGTTGTAAATTGAAGGAATATCATAAGCACAAGGATGCTTTTCTTGAGGTTTCTTGTCTTTTGTGGAGCAGGATTTTACATTACAATACCACTGTTTATTCTGATGGTTTCTTCATGATTAAATGTAGCATTCAAGGTAAAAATGATTAAGACCATCAAGTTAAGCTGGTCATAGAGGGATAGAATTTTGATCAACAATTCTTGGGAAAAGTCTTAGAACGTTCGAATGTCGTTCCAAAGATTTTGTTTGCTTTTAACATTTGATTTTGGAATGAATGAACACCACATACACTGTTAGAAATTCATCCTTTTTCTCACACTGCGATTGAAAACGAACAGTGACCCATTAATGATTAGAAAATCAAACTTCAGAATTCTACTCATCTATGGCCAGCGTTACATTTAGAGATGAGCGAATCGAAGTTGGCGAAGTGGAATTCGAGTCGAATATTGGAAAATTTTAGATTCGCGCCAAATCCGAAAAATAGCCTACTTCGGACGCGCGAATCGAAATTTTTCCTAAAATGGCGGCGGACATGTGCGGCGACGGAGCGGGGATGTCTGGAAGGCGCGCAGACAAGGCGCGCTGACCCATAATGCATTCCTTAATGACATGTGATCGCATTAGCCAATCAGCAGCCAGCCAGCACTGTGTAATGGTCGAGCTATATAGCGGCCATTTTAGAATTCTTCATTTGCCTCCAGTCATTCAAGAGAGGCAGACCGCTCTGTATTAGGGACAGAGTTAGGGCCACAGAAACGTTACTTGGGGACAGAGAAACGTTACTTAGGGAAAGAAGCATTACTCAGGGACACAGAATTGTTAATGAGGGCCACAGAATCGTTACTTAGGACCAAAGAAACGCTAGTTTCCACAGAATTGTTACTCAGGGACAGACAGAATTGTTACTGAGTGCCAGAGAATTGTTACTTAGGGCCACAGAAACGTTAGTTAGGGCCACAGAATTGTTACTCAGGGACAGACACAGAATTGTTACTGAGGGCCACAGAACTGTACTTAGGGCCACAGAAACGTTAGTTAGGGCCACAGAATTGTTACTCAGGGACAGACAGAATTGTTACTGAGTGCCAGAGAATTGTTACTTAGGGCCACAGAAACGTTAGATAGGGCCACAGAATTGTTACTCAGGGACAGACACAGAATTGTTACTGAGGGCCACAGAACTGTTACTTAGGGCCACAGAAACGTTAGTTAGGGCCACAGAATTGTTACTCAGGGACAGACAGAATTGTTAACTGAGGGCCACAGAAAACTGTTACTTAGGGCCACAGAAACGTTAGTTAGGGCCACAGAATTGTTACTCGGACAGACACAGAATTGTTACTGAGGGGGCCACAGAATTGTTACTGAGGGCCGCAGAACCGTTACTTAGGGCCACAGAATTGTTACTCAGGGACACAGAATTGTACTGAGGGCCACAGAACCGTTACTTAGGGCCACAGAATTGTTACTCAGGGACAGACACAGAATTGTTACTCAGGGACACAGAATTGTTACTGAGGGCCACAGAACCGTTACTTAGGGCCACAGAATAATTGTTACTCAGGGACACAGAATTGTTACTGAGGCCACAGAAACCGTTACTTTAGGGCCACAGAATTGTTACTCAGGGACACAGAATTGTTACTTAGGGCCACAGAAACGTTTACTCAGGACACAGAATTGTTACTGAGGGCCACAGAACTGTTACTTAGGGCCACAGAAACGTTAGTTAGGGGGGACACAGAATTGTTACTCAGGGACAGACACAGAATTGTTACTGAGGGCCACAGAATTGTTACTTAGGGCCACAGAAACGTTACTCTAGGGACACAGAAATTGTTACTGAGGGCCACAGAACCGTTACTTAGGGCCACAGAATTGTTACTCAGGGACACAGAATTGTTACTTAGGGCCACAGAACCGTTACTTAGGGCCACAGAATTGTTACTCAGGGACACAGAATTGTTACTTAGGGCCACAGAAACGTTACTCAGGGACACAGAATTGTTACTGAGGGCCACAGAACTGTTACTTAGGGCCACAGAAACGTTATTTAGGGACACAGAATTGTTACTCAGGGACAGACACAGAATTGTTACTGAGGGCCACAGAATTGTTACTTAGGGCCACAGAAACGTTACTCAGGGACACAGAATTGTTACTGAGGGCCACAGAACCATTACTTAGGGCCACAGAATTGTTACTCAACAGACACAGAATTGTTACTCAGGGACACAGAATTGTTACTGAGGGCCACAGAACCGTTACTTAGGGCCAAAGAATTGTTACTCAGGGACAGACACAGAATTGTTACTGAGGGACACAGAATTGTTACTGAGGGCCACAGAACCGTTACTTAGGGCCACAGAAAAGTTACTCAGGGACACAGAATTGTTACTGAGGGCCACAGAACCGTTACTTAGGGCCACAGAATTGTTACTCAGGGACAGACACAGAATTGTTACTGAGGGACACAGAATTGTTACTGAGGGCCACAGAACCGTTACTTAGGGCCACAGAATTGTTACTCAGGGACAGGACACACAATTGTTACTCCAGGGACACAGAATTGTTACTGAGGGCCACAGAACCGTTACTTAGGGCCACAGAATTGTTACTCAGGGACACAGAACTGTTACTGAGGGACACAGAAGAACCGTTACTTAGGGCCACAGAATTGTTACTCAGGGACAGACACAGAATTGTTACTCAGGGACACAGAATTGTTACTGAGGGCCACAGAACCGTTACTTAGGGCACAGAAACGTTACTCAGGGACAGACACAGAATTCTTACTCAGGGACAGACACAGAATTTGTTACTCAGGGGACACAGAATTGTTACTGAGGGACACAGAATTTACTGAGGACACAGAATTGTTACTCAGGGACACAGAATTGTTGCTGAGGGACACAGAATTGTTACTGAGGGACACAGAATTGTTACTCAGGACAGACACAGAATTGTTACTCAGGGACAGACACTGAATTGTTACTCAGGGACAGACAGAATTGTTACTGAGGGCTACAGAAATGTTACTTAGGGCCACAGAAACGTTACTCAGGGACACAGAATTGTTACTCAGGGACAGACACAGAATTGTTACTCAGGGACAGACACAGAATTGTTACTGAGGGACACAGAATTGTTACTGACTGAGGGCCACAGAACCGTTACTTAGGACCACAGAAACGTTACTCAGGGACAGACACAGAATTGTTACTCAGGGACAGACACAGAATTGTTACTGAGGGCCACAGAACTGTTACTTAGGGCACACAGAACTGTTACTTAGGGCCACAGAAACGTTACTCAGGGACACAGAATTGTTACTGAGGGACACAGAATTGTTACTGAGGGACACAGAATTGTTACTCAGGGACAGACACAGAATTGTTACTGAGGGCCACAGAACTGTTACTTAGGGCCACAGAACTGTTACTTAGGGCCACAGAAACGTTACTCAGGGACACAGAATTGTTACTCAGGACACAGAATTGTTACTGAGGGACACAGAATTGTTACTGAGGACACAGAATTGTTACTCAGGGACAGACACAGAATTGTTACTGAGGGCCACAGAACTGTTACTTAGGGCCACAGAACTGTTACTTAGGGCCACAGAAACATTACTCAGGGACACAGAATTGTTACTCAGGGACACAGAATCGTTTAATTAAAGAGTATGTCAGACAACATGCAGAGGAGTGGCAGAGGAGGCAATGTTTTAGGAGCGAGCAGACGTGGCAGCAGAGGAAGGGGTCGAGGCAGCACTATTCGCAGCCAGAGGCTAGTGCTCCCGTGGTGTCATCCAGTACAGTGAGGAAGAGCTAACAGAGGGCGGTCAGGAACGGGGGGAGACATCCGCCTCTTCAGCAGCCAGGCGAAGAAGTAGTGGCGAGGAGAGTGGCTCGGTAGCCGGTCTAGAGACAGGTCTGTCTCCTGACCCACACGCAGCCGAGGGGGCTAGTAGTGAGGCGGAGACCCTAATTGATGATGATGAGGCTGATCGCACTTGGCAGCCTTGTCGTCATCAGGCTATTGCTTCCGCATCATCAGGAGAAGAGGGTGGCAGCTTGGCAGCGAGCAAAACAGTCGGTGGGTTGTCTCCATCGCCACACTCTGCCATGTGCCACTTTTCAGATCTCCTCACACACTGCTGGTGTGTTGAATTTTTTGACATAGGGTGCTGGCAGATTACGGGCCTCCCATAGCTGCTGCCAGGCCCCTAATCTGCCATGGGCCCCTATACCGCCTCCTCATGCTGCTGCCAGGTCCACATCTCTCATGCCATGTGCCACTTTCAGGTCTCCTCACACTGCTGGTGTGTTCAATTTTTTTGACATAGGGTGGGCAGATTACGGGCCTCCCATAGCTGCTGCCAGGCCCCTAATCTGCCATGGGCCCCCTATATACCGCCTCCTCATGCTGCTGCCAGGTCCAGAGTCTGTCATGGGTCCCTGTACGGCCTCCCATTGCTGCTGTCTCCATCGCCACACTCTGCCATGTGCCCACTTTCAGGTCTCCTCACACACTGCTGGTGTGTTGAATTTTTTGACATAGGGTGCTGGCAGATTATGGGCCTACCCCATAGCTGCTGCCAGGCCCCTAATCTGCCATGGGCCCCTATATACCGCCTCCTCATGCTGCTGCCAGGTCCAGAGTCTCTCATGGGTCCCTGTACGGCCTCCCATTGCTGCTGTCTCCATCGCCACAACTCTGCTATGTGCCACTTTCAGGTCTCCTCACACTGCTGGTGTGTTCCATTTTTTGTCATAGGGTGCTGGCAGATTACGGGCCTCCCATTGCTGCTGCCAGGCCCGTAATCTGCCATGGGCCCCTGTACCGCCTCTTCATGCTGCTGCCAGGTCCAGAGTGTGTCATGGGTCCCTGTACGGCCTCCCATTGCTGCTGCCAGGAGGCAGCAGGGTCGCAGCAGTGTCAGTGGAGGCAAACGGCCACGGAGTAGAGCACCAGCTCCACTGCAGCCTACCACCATGGCCAGTAGTGGTGCCGGTGTGCACGGAGGAAGTAGCAGTCAGCCAGTGAGGAGTAGCGGGGGCAAAGTTTCCTACTCGGCGGGTTGTGCAATTTTTCGTCAAGCCGCCCGAGGAAGTAAACGTAGCCGTATGTCGACTATGTGGCCAGAAAGTCAAGCGTGGCCAGGCGGCCCATGTTGGGACTACAGCGTTGCGTCAGCATATGCAGCGTCGCCATTCGGTGGCCTGGGAAAACCGTGATAAAGATACGGCGGTTCTGCCTGCCCCAGCCCAGGGTTCCATTTTGTCACAGGGTGCTGGCAGATTACGGGCATCCCATTGCTGCTGCCAGGCCTTAATCTGCCATGGGCCCCTGTACCGCCTCCTCATGCTGCTGCCAGGTCCAGAGTCTGTCATGGGTCCCTGTACGGCCTCCCATTGCTGCTGTCTCCATCGCCACACTCTGCCATGTGCCACTTTCAGGTCTCCTCACACACTGCTGGTGTGTTGAATTTTTTTGACATAGGGTGCTGGCAGATTACGGGCCTCCCATAGCTGCTGCCAGGCCCCTAATCTGCCATGGGCCCCTATACCGCCTCCTCATGCTGCTGCCAGGTCCAGAGTCTCTCATGGGTCCCTGTACGGCCTCCCATTGCTGCTGTCTCCATCGCCACACTCTGCCATGTGCCACTTTCAGGTCTCCTCACACTCCTGCTGGTTTCCATTTTGTCATAGGTTGCTGTATGGCCTCCCATTGCTGCTGCCTCCACCGCCACACTGTGGCTCCAAACACTGGTTTTGGCCCCGTGACTGGCCAAATGAGTGAAAGTGTGCGGTGATTCTAAGATCGACGGCACTCATCTGCATGTCATACTGACTGACAGTATTATTTCTCTTCCCCAGCAGACTCCAAGGGCATGTTCTAAATCTGTTTCTCCAGATGTAAAGAAAATAAATTATATAAATCAAAACCAAGGTGATGCACTATAATCACAGTGCATCTTACCTACCAAAACCCACTCTAAAATGTTTTTCCAAAATTTTCAAAAAGAAAATGTGCTCAAATCCCAATAATGTATAAATATACAGTATATTTGAGCATAGGTACATCTTATTTCTGTTGCATAGTGCAGGTCAATGACCAGACTTTAACCTCTAGCTCTCCTACAGCTTGTGTCTATTTGCCCCATACTGGCACTATATCCACTGGAGCATTTGAAGTTTGCCGAGCAGAGTAAGGACTGGCGAGAGAGGGATTACTTTAATGCGGTAGGCCAGATTAACATACTTTGCAATGTACAGTATGTGAACTAAAAATCCCTATTTTTTGCAAAGTTTGCTAGAAAGGGTGCATAGTAGTAATGGGCCGAACACCCCCTTGTTTGGTTTGCGGTCGAACGTTCAAACCTAATGAACGAACTTCAAACTCACTGCATGTCTATGGGACTTGAACTTGTAAATTCAAAAGTGCCCATTTTGAAGGTTTATATGCACATTATTGGCTATAAAAGGGGTAAGGACTCGGTTCTTGCCCTGAGGGACATGAATCAGTGAAAAAAACTATTTATGAAAGTACCGTTTTTAAAGAGGCAGTAATTTTTCATTGCTTAAAGTAAAAAAAAATTCCTTTAAATATCATGCCTGGGGAGTCCCCTTAAACTATCTGCACATCTGTACAATGTAAAAAAACCTGCTGCAGCAGGACTGATATATATATTTTTTTTAATTACATTTTTTATTTTTTTAAAAACAGCGTGGGGTCCCCCCCCACCAGGCCCTTTAGGTATGGTAGAAAGGTTAGGAGGGACTCCACAGCTCCACAGTAAAAACAAATGTTTATAAAGTGTGTGATGTTCCCCCTAAAAGCTATACCAGGCCCTTTAGGCCTTGTAGGACTTTTAAGGGGAACCCCACCCCCCAAAAATGGGGGAAAAAACGTGTGGGTCCTCCCTACATTCCTACCAGACCCTTGATCCAAACACAGGCCTGGCAGAACAGGAAAGGGGGGGTGGCCTGCGGCTTATCAGGTCATGTGCCCTCAGAATTGGGTGTCCCTAATGCCAAAGGGGATAAGTGCCTCTTCCGCAGAACTGTGGCCTGGTGGTTGTGGGTGTCTGCGGGCAGGGGGGCTCATTAACATCAGGGTGTTCCTTTAAATAAGGGGGCACCCTGATGCTGACCCCTTGTACCCCTACCCATTCACTAAAGGGTGAAATTCAGTAAAAAATAAAGAGACCAGTCTTTTTAAAAATTCCTTTAATTGAACAAAACAAAACAACAGTTTTTGACAAGTCCTTTAACAGAAAAAAGCGGTCTGCTGCACGTGTTGAAAAATGAACTTTTGGAGTCAGCAGCACCCTGCACCTGTGGGGCATTGTCGTGTGTTGCAATAGGGTGGCTGCCCTTTCAACTGTCCCTGGAAGACATCCTGTCTCGTTGGAGTTGTGCCTTCTCCTCACTTTCCTCCTTTGTTCTCTCCGGCACCCAAGTACAGTCAGTGACCTCATCATCCCCTCCCTCCTTGTCACTGGAGCCAACTTGGCAGTGTCCTGCGGCTGGGGGAACATGACTGCCAATTTATTTTCCCTCATTGGCAACCCCTCTTTCTAGGCTCATGTGAGATGGGGAAACAGCTTTCATTGGATACTGATTGAAGTAAATTAAAAAACGTTCTGACTGACATTTTGCAGTTTAGCCACAAGATGTCACTGTTTTTGTAACACAGCCTCAGACTGCATAGAGATTTCTATATTCATGAAGGGGTGGGGTTTTTACACTTGGAGAGTGAACAGGAAAAGGAGAGGAGAGCAGCCATGCTTGAGAGAGAGAAGGGGGACTGTGTGATCTGAGAATCCGATGCCATCCAGATGTGAGGACAGCCCTCCGTAATCAGAAATTAAATTGAGTGAAGCTGATATTGTTCAAGACGCTGATCCTGTTCAGAGAAAGGAAGATCGCTGCCAGAAAGGCTGATGAGATCGCATGCTAGTTGAAGAGACATCTGTTCTGTTCTGAGTCACCAGCGGATGCAAGGCAGACCCGGGTCGGTAAGCTCGTGCACGCACCTCATTTCAGTGTTGGCACTTCCAGAGACTGAGACAGGCCTATAGTTAGTTAGTTAGAGTCTCTGTTTGTGTCAGGCCACACGTGTTGTTACTGATCATTGGAAGGACTCCACAACTTAAAGTGACATTGCACATTGGAGAGCTGCTAAAATCCTACAAACTCAAACCAGACTGGCATTTTGCTCAGAAGGAATAATCAGGCATGTGCTACAGGACCAGTTATGGGAGGGGGAATACTGTAGATTTGTGTAAGAATGTAAGCTGTTGTGCTGCACCGCAGGCTAGCCCATACCGTACACCCATACACTGATTCCTGCTCTTTTAGGGTAATAACAAGTAAGGTGTGGCAGCTTAGTTGTGCCCTCCTGTAGGTAAATTACTACACTTTCTACCTTCATCCATCAGAAGGCGCCGTGCTGTGCAGCACAAGGGTCTCAGCCTTTGGGTTGGGTGTATGTAAATTTATTGTATGTTTCCAGCATTTGTGGTTGTGTTTATTTGCCCCATCTAAGTAAAATTCTGTTGTGACAAAAGCTGGTGTTGGGGTTGCTTTCCTCATTCGTGACTTCACTGTATCCTGGGGAGCCCACCCCGGTACACGGCTTACACTCACGTCACTGCCTTCCTCAACCTGGGAACCAACATAAGAGCATTGAAATTGCTGCTCATTATCCAGTAGCATGAGACTGACACTGTGTTCGAATAATTCAGCTGACTCCTCTATGCATGATGGTGGGGCTATGGAAGGAGCAGCTGTGAACCAGAAGCCTGTGGAGTGGAATTTGTGGCTGCTGTGGTGGACAGCAAATTAGTATAGGCCTGGGTGACAGAGGATGAGGAGGATGAGGATGGCTTAGTTATCCACTCTACCACTTCTTCTGCATGTTGTGGCTCAATAACATGGCCAGCCTTGCACAGGATGCACCATGTCCACGACCACCACTTTTTACTGTGGACACAGAGGCTGCTTGTTCTCTTTTAGCTGCCTGTGCGCTCCTTGTTGGCCTTTCAGACATGACGGGGATTTTTTTCGGAAAGTTTTTATAACTTTATTTTACAGTGTGGGATGGGAATTTGGTGCTTGGGTGCAATACTTTTTTGCTTGGTGCACTGTAAACCATATTATTATTGGGGTTTTTTATATAGAAAATAGGGGGTAGAACAATTATGGAGAGCTTTTTTTTTATTGCTGCTACAGTTAAAAAAATGTAAATAAAATAAATGTAAAAATATAAGACAGCCAAAAAAAAAAAACACTGTTGATGCGGAAGGAAGAACACATTTTTTTAGCTGCTACTGGAAAAAAAAATAAATGAAAAAATTCAGAAAGCCAAAACAAAAAAGAAAAAGGGAACCACTGCTGATGCAGAAGGAGGAACACCTGTGGTGCACAAGGGGGAACAACAATTATGCCCTAAATACTTTTGCTGTTGCTGGGCAAAAAAAAATAATATATATATAGTAAAACGAATAAAAAGAGTGCTAGGTATGAAGCTGCTTGCATAAAGGTGAAACCTCTTACCCTCTATATAAATATGTAAACAGATATACAGCGCTAAAAATAATGATAATAAACAGTAAAGTGAAAATAGTGCGGGTGCCTTGTAGCACTATAAGTGACACAATAAAGGAGTAAATCATCCTGAATTTAATAAAGATCAATTCAAAGTGAATAAATATCAATCAGATGAAATAAATTGACTTGAGTGATAGTTGGTATATATAATACAGTCCAGCAATAATGAAATCCGTGTTGTGAAATCCGTGACTTGGAGCTGATAATGTGATTGCACTCACCAGAAGCGCAATTTAAAAGCGCATTTGTGTTAATATTATCCCGTCATGGTCATCTGGGTGTGGATAGGGATGTTGGAAATCATCTGGCACATGTTCAGTGTGCAAGGTAACTTTCAGATATCTCACACAGTATCCAGGGACATCTCGTCAGATCTCGTAGACCACCGGATGGGAACACAGTGAGCACTGGGGAAACTTCACCTTGGAGGCTCGTTAATAACGAGCCAAAGAATAAAGTGCTTGATAGTGCAGTCATTTTATGGAAATTTGGCGAATAAAAGGTCATACAGAGTAAGAATAAACTCACATCTGGTTTTTGGTAAAGCAAGATGGCCGCCAGCCTTCCATGCGGCCTCAGCGGCGTGATTTCACAACAGCTAGGCTCCCTACTAACGCGTTTTGTGCTTGTGCACATTTTCAAAGGGATATATCAGGAAAATGAAATGTTGGGTTTACATACTCTTTAAGGGCAGATCACAGGGTAGACAGGGTTGATACTATAATTCATGTTTAGGAAGGAAGATCTTGTAAGCTTTCTTAGGGATTCCAAAAGATGTGTGATCAAAATAAATATACTGTACAGAACAAGTGTGGTAATAGAGCAGTAAAGGCTTTTCAGTCTCTAGCCATGCATTCAGCAGTGACCAAAAGTTATGGTGCTCCCAACGGAACTTAACAGCAGGGTCAGCCAAATTACTATGTAACCCAGACTGCATATAGGCCACGGAGATAACGGTGGCTGAATAGCTTCTATGGACAAGATTTTTGATTTCCATACACAAACTTTAACGATCTTTTTTTATTCTAAATGCACTGCAAAGAGCAATAATAATGATGATACACAGGTCAGCAAACCAAAACCACCAATCAGATTTCATGGCTCATGAGTTTAGGGTATTCACAGTGAGAGATTATTTCTGACTGCTATCATTGAAGAATTTGAACGTTAACCTTTACCTTGTTTGACAAGGGTTTCAAAAATCCAATCTAACTTGGTGATACATACAGTCATGG